TCACACAAAGGCGCAGATTTCATACCAGTATCAGTGTATATTACAATTAGGCCTGCCCTTACACAACGTGAGATCGTGCTCGCACGAGAGCACGTGACGCGATTTGTTTTCCGCGTCTTGCAGGAGACTGAGACATTGGGAACTACGAGGTAATATTTTCTTATTTAGTCTTCCATTCTCCTGTCAAACTCGTGCACACTAAAGGAAATCACGGGAGTTCCTCTGTCTGGGGATGATTGGTTCGTTTTATCGCCAAAGTATAATGCATTTGCTTTACAAGGCATTCCTCTCCCCGATTTGTTGTGTTGTTGTTGTTGTTGTTTTTCATAATGGACATGTAGTGAAAGCGGCATATATATTACGGAATATTATAGTTACTTAATATCCAATATTACTCACACATGTAATAAAACGCCAATACCAATAAATGGATAAAAATGGTTTGTTTGTATGCACGTAATTACTTTTATTTTATTTTGGCACATTTCTTTGACTCTTGCACGAATGTTGGAGTTTAGTATCAGTATCGAAAGATCGAAACGCATGCTCTTTCATTAATCCAGGTTCGGCGACACGCAAAGAATATCAAATGATAGATAGGTTGAAATATGGCTGTTGTAACAGTAAATATGCTTCCAATGAAGCCACATGTACTATTGCACGCGATCTACAACATTCCGAATGGCTAGTTCCTTCGGAAATGGCGTATATCTATTTTTCTGTTTTCTTCGGAATTTCTCTAGGTTTATCAGCTATTTTCTTCTGAAATGTCGTATTTTTATGTTTTCTTCGGAATTTCTCTAGGTTTATCACTCGTGATTCATTTTGTGCTTCTCCTAGATTATACCATACAGGGTTTACATACGTCAATCAAATCTTCACCTATCAACATCATCCAACGGTGGACATTTTCTTAAATCCATCGTTTGCAAATTACTATAGTTTAAGCGTCATTCAGTATTCAACGAAAACTTTAACCATTATTTCTACACGATTCAACGCTAAATTTTTAATTCTGGTATTGTTTTATGTCGTTAGATGTTTGTTTTCGACAACGTTCAACAATAACCATTTAGTCTCTACCTCGCGTTGTGTTTCTCAGGAAGCTGAAAAATTGACGGGTCTGTGCTGACATGGTTTTGTCCTCGGACAAAATACTTAACCCTTATTGTTCTTGATGGTATGCGATGGGCCTGCCGTGTGTTGTTCACTGAGGTAGACACCAGTTATTACAAGAATATTCAGCTTTAAAATGACGCTGCCAGTTCAGGGACGATAAACACAGCTCACAACCAATATTCTCAGTATCATATTTAAATATTCAACGTTCAGTGTTTAAATTGAATATCTGCTCTCAAATGCCTATTTTTTTAGTGTAGCTTTTGTCCATTTTAATTGCTAACTGACAATTTTGCATTGTTCAACGTAAAATATAATTTACGACTTGCGATGAACGGGGCCGCGGTAAGACATTTGAACTTGTCATTAGCCTTCCACCTGTGGGTCGCGGGTTAGAGACATACGAAGGGTGGATTTTTCTCCGGGAAGTCCGGCTTTCCTCCACCACCCACATCTGGCACGTCCTTAAATGACCCTGGCTGTTAGGACGTAAAGCAATAACAAACTAAAACAACATGGTATTTTTCAAAATTATGGATTTCGGTTATTGTAAACTGTTTTGAATGTTTGAGATTATACGTCCTTAATACATCAAGAGACACATGTAAATTGAACCCATGGATGATAGCACCACTGGCAGTCTCTAGTGCCATCTCAGAGAGCTGTCGTGATCTGGATCTCGATGAATGGCACTCAACAAGGTCAAATTATATATATTCATTTCGATCTAATCAGACCAATCACTCGTGTAAGCTTTAAAGATTGCCGATATTATTGGCACAAAGGCCAAATATAAGCTAAGTCACCATATCCCACCTTTATGCAATGAACATCATGACATGTCAATTTCAAACAAATTTATGGTTGTAAGGTGGTCAATTTTACAGCGTTTCTTTTCAGTTTGTTTGCCATTGGAACGTGATATGATTTAACACCCGTTTCAAATATAGGTGAAATTCAATATAACACGTTGCTATGGTAACTGTAAATACATATTGTCGAAATACAAAATAGGACCTAGTTACCTCCACGCAGATTTTAAATGGCCTCTTAAATTCTGTCGTGCCAATTCTAGTAGCATTTTCTAAGGATTCAAAAACAGCACAGATTTCTGGTAATGATTTTGAAATTAGGTTAGTATGGAACGGCATGGGGACGTAACAGACAGATAAAACATGTGTTTCTATCAATATTACACACTAACTGCCACAAAATAGGATTATATCCGATATCAATCGAAAGCGCAAAGCTGCACGAGATATTCGGCACCGTGGATTAGACAGTCATTTACTATCCAATTTAGTTTGTATTAAGGATTCAACAACGGTGTAAATTGAGACAAATATTGGATTTATACAAGTCAGGGAGGTAAATACACATGTTACGACAACTAGCCATTTTTTATAGGCTTGCGTTCCCCCTTATCGCGTTGGCCAGTTAATTGTTGTGTTTGACGTGAGATTATTGAACGAGAGCCCGCCGGTTGCGGCACGGTGGCTATTGTTTACTCGTACAATGATGTAAAAGTTTATCGACCTAAGGAGTTTGTCTCAGCTCCCCTCATTCGCAAGTCCATAATTTCTTGTCAATTTTTAAGTGGTGCCGTTTGAATCCCTTTGTACAGAATCGTTTTAGCCTAAAATCCGTTTGTAAGACGGTCTTAAGGACAATTTTGGAAAGCCTCTCAATAAATCATTAAGACTAAAAGTATTTTTATGAACTAGCAAAAACAAACAGCCACCTTCAAAAAAAAAAAAAAAAAAGAGAGAAAATATCGAGTTATTTGAGGTCAATATTTTTCAGTTTTTCTCCTTACCCTTGTTTACTAACTACGAAAGCCTGATAGTATTTATAAAATATACTATATACTACTATACGGCTCATATTATCCATATTTGGGTATCTCTTCTAACGAATTGATTATTTCATAAGGAATGACCTTTTAATTTGGGTAGAGATCTGCAACCCATTTCACGATGTTATATGGTGACATACACCCTTAAAGTTGTGTGATTTAAAAAAAAAAATAATTTACTGCGAGACCAAATAATAAATCTAATGTGATTTTATATTATGACGAAATAAGTAAGGAAAAATCCTCAAATCATGTGATCACGTGACCACAATGAGCCCGCCAGTCTTCAGACTTTGTCAGACAGAAGAAGAACTAGACAGTATCGAAACGTGTACAAGTTAAACACGTAAACTTTCACGTGACATCGATCGGTCCCCGGGCACTCCTCTAAAGCATGGATTGTTTAATCCAACGAACGGCAGTTCAACTGATAATAATAGGAGTGCGAGGATAAAGAGAGCGCTGCAAAAAATGGATCTTGTTCACAGTATGTGTGAAATCTATTAAAGGACTTTCGCATTCCTGATATCATTATGTAGAGAGTCAGACTGCCGAAATAGATTCTAGCATTGATTTGCTACTTTGTATGGCTTTCCATTTCGTTTCTGTGTTCAAACAATGAACAGGAAATACAAGCTGTTTTAAGCTAAATAATGTGTATTTTCCCCCTGTCAGCGTCAATTGAAAGGGAATCACTACAACACTGATAATGCTACCAGATACACGAACGTACATGATATAAACAAAATTAGTTAGCAACAGAACAATGAGAAAAATAAAATAGATAATGACGAAACCGCCAACAGTGTGTTGAGAAGTCCAAGTGACTTGCTTCTGACGCCACGAGTTGAACCCCCACCTACAACCACATGTACCATTTAGTCTTCGCTGTCGTTGAGGAATGGTAATATGCCCCCTTGTTTAAATTGATTCGCTAGAGATGTAAATGATTGAATATATCTTCTCTGAAATCGATGGTGAAATGTACATCTTGTAACCTCTAGTACTTTACAGATTTCTGGTATTTGTAACAGGCGTGATTCTCTAATAACACTCTCACAACTTCAGTTCTCCTCATCCAATTACCATTGTACCAAAACGACTGTCGATATGGGAAGCATGTGTGAATAGACTTTCCCCAGAAAAAAATAACGACACATGAATGATTACGTCATATCTGATCTTTCGGAACACCCTGACCGATTATTGTAACTGATATAATTGTAACCAATCACACGAGGCTTTCCGAGTGCTCAGTGAATACTTTAGCAATGAATAACTTCTTGGTTAAGAGTGTTGAAAGGTAGCCATTTTCTAATTATCTCTCCGTGTGTCCTCCGTGTAATTTTTATACAGACTTTATGGGGAAGAAGATGTAGATAAATAAGCTTATACGTTTCATTTCTATTACTCCGTTTTCAGATAAAGGCATAGATCTGTACAGTTGAACAGCTGATTTCGACAGATCTTGGCACGAGAATACTCAGTGCATATGAACCTATAATAAGGGCACGCGTATGTGGACGACGCGAGAAAACAGACTATATGTACAATGCCTATTGATACATCGTACGTAAACATGTGTATGTCTGTCACATCTACAACGAACCAACCTGTACATATAAACATTACTGATTTAAATTTTAACATATATATCGAATACATTACGCACCACTAAACAGAGGATTAGCATAACAGCGAGTGAACCATATAGAAATCACTCATATGACTCTAAAGAGAAAAATGGCCCGTCTTATCCCACTTCATGATCGTATCAGGAAACAAACGTGAACCAATTGTGAGATCATCGTTTCCTTTCCTGATTATCTCCCCTCTTTCGCGATTAATTATTTCGTAATTGCGTCTTCCTGGCTCGTTTAAGGCATTGAGTATGTTGTCAAAATTACCGCGTATGATATTATATTCTACTGAAACCCAACCTACCACTTTGAATTTGTATATTGTATATAATGGATTTTCAAGAAAAGAACTATGAATTATATATATGTAAGTTGTGAATTCTTACCTGCGTTCGTGTCCTACACACCAATTTCCATTATAGCCACAATTTGGCTTCCATACTTTAATAAGTCGTGTGTACGCCTGCGCACAAGGCTGACGCACCATCTTCATCTCTACATCTTGGTATGGACACACATTAGGCCTAAAATACAAAAAGAATGTGCCAATTAACAAAAGACACGCATTTAGCACATATGTACACGCATTTCTAAAGTTTGCGATATTGTTCACGGTGTGGAACATATCGAGTGAAAAAAATACCCATGAATATTTTGAAAATCTGAAATATAAAGAGGAAAAGATAGTTTTTGACTTTCGTAGACATGTTAAGGTTTTCTAATTTACACTTCTACATGGTTGAACATTTTTATGTCGGGTGAAATGGAAATTTATTAAGCGAAGAAAGATTACGATTTTTAACAATAAGAACACATTGTTTGACCTTAAAGCAAACAATAGACTGATACTTTTGTATGCATCACCCCAGCTGTGCAGACGACGTTGAAATTTCAACATCTAATGCTCCATCGAGAAAGTTTATGGTTTCTGTGTTCTGATCGAGACAAACCAAAGTTTAGATTTATAAAGCATGGTACATTGTACTTTCAGAGAGTTCGCGGTAGATAATCCCGATTTCTGTATGGTGTGACCGGATGGATTTCGTGACTTAAAAGTCCATTATGAATAAAAATATATAACGGCTTGAAGACTTTTCTGGACATCTGCTAGATACCATTTAGTTTGAGTTGGCCAGCGAGTGGCTAATATTTCCCGTACACTCCTTTTCATAAGGACATAGCTGTTGTGAGGACACTAGACCCAAAACGTGCATACACTGACTTGCATTGAAACTAGTCCTACAGTAATATCGGGTTTTATTTCACAATGGGAGTCATGCACAGTGGTATGACATGTAATTGCAGGTCTTTAGAGAACATTATGATATTTGATGTGTGGTGTATCCACGTCTCAGAGATAAACACATAATTGTATGCAATAGACTTGCAGCAACAGACACAAAAGCATAAAGTCACACACAACAGCAAAGCATGAGAAGTACCCAGCGATACTAACAAATGGCAATGCAGAGATATAAAAGGACAGGCAGTTTTAAGGAAACGGGTGAAATACTGAATATACAAGGGACAAAGTACATGGTGAAATACAGAACACAGAAGACATACAAGAGACAAAGTACATGGTGAAATACAGAACACAGAAGACATACAAGGGACAAAGTACATGGTCAAATACAGAACACAGAAAATATACAAAGGACAAAGTACATGGTGAAATACAAAACACTGAAATATATACAAAGGACAAAGTACATAGTAAAAAACAGAACACAGAAGACATACAAGGGACAAAGTACATAGTGAAAAACAGAACACAGAAGACATACAAGGGACAAAGTACATGGTGAAAAACAGAACACAGAAGACAAACAAGGGACAAAGTACATGGTGAAATACAGAACACAGAAGATATACAAAGGACAAAGTACATGGTCAAATACAGAACACAGAAGATATACAAAGGACAAAGTACATGGTCAAGTACAGAACACAGAAGATATACAAGGGACAAAGTATATGGTGAAATACAAAACGCAAAAGACATACAAAGGACAAAGCACAAAGACTCGGAAGGTATACACAAAAACTGAACACATTGACAAGCAAAGATAGAAAATAATCCCGATTCCATTTTCTGTATACGACATCTTAATTTGAGACGTGGTAGTTAAGTGTATGAAGAAAAGAATCGTAATTGATGTTCTGGAATAACGGGCCTTCTTTGATTTTCGGCGACCGGTTTCGCAAATTTGCAGATCGCCTTTAACACACAAGCATCCTGATAAAGGATATCGACAGGAGTGCACTGATTCACTGTAGACACAAGTTCATAAAAGCAGGACAGCTCGGGTTTCTCTAAAGAGAGAAATAGCTCGAACGTAAGCCTCGAAATCGTTGGTCTTGTAATCAGTTCCTAATTCTTGTTAAAAATGGATGTGATCGATGTCTAAATCATTCTATTAACATTGGTGATTTCTGGCTAGGAACTGCACAAGACGCATTCTCGTATATAAAGTACACGTAAACGTCAAAAAAAGATGCCTACTTAACAATGTTCTGAGAAAATTCATTTCTTTTTCTGCTTGTCCAGAAAGTACCATTATTGCTGTCAAGTAATCCAGACATTTAAATCACGTCTTAAGACGAAAAACATTGATTTCTATGTCTTAAAAGAAAATTTGATACCTTTTATCCAATACCAAACTGGACAAATACGTAATGCAAGATATGAAAATCCTAAATAATTGTAACCTGTGCCAGTATGTATTCCGGTTTCTGAACATCACACGCAATATTCTAATATATTTAGACCCTGTTGAAGGGTATGCAAAGGCTTCCATAGATCTTGAGAAAATGCATCTCTCAGGCCCTCATTAAATTGGCAGACGAAATGCGCTTGCCGGGCATCCGTATTCCTAAACACCGCTTCCTCTGCGTGCTAGCACCTCATTCGTTTTCATCATATGGTTTTATTCTTTTACAGAACTGGATCTATTTTATGCGGTACCCTATCAATCTCCTTAACTCCAAACCCTTTTTTCCCGTTTTGATATTGGTTAAGTTCCAAACTTAATGGTTTTTCAGAGTGTAAATCTGACAGTGCCGAGAGCACACAAGCTGGTTGGCAAGATGATAAATCCTGGTCGGCATTTAGTAGTTCCCGTCAGTTTACCCGCGCGCTGACTTTGTGTGACTTATCCCTGTAAAATTTAAACGAAATTATTCCGGAGGATTCTTCAAGAAGCAACGGCCGGCATAGTGGTAGTTGAGAGCCATTTCTATGTGACCACGTCCCGCCTTAACGGCACAATTTGTATGAGTAATTGAAAAAGGAAGGCACTCTTAACATGTCTCTACTTCGATCAGAGAAATTTAAGACTGTTTTATGTCTTCAAAATTGTTTTTGTGTGACATTAGGTTTCGAGTTGTCTCGCCTCTCAGTTGTGCTCCATCGTGCTTGTAACGGCGATGGACGAATATTGGTCTTTTTATTTTAGCATTGTTTTTCTCAAGAGTCGGAGGTTAGACAAGAATTTTGAGGGTGGGGATGGGCTACCATAGATTAAGGAACATATGGAAACCAAGAAGATCGGACTGAGGATAGCGAGCCTATAATTATTCGGTAAGACTAGACAAACCCCAGAAAGCCTTTTGATTTGAACTATTGCACAGACTGGAACGCGTTTGAATTTGGGAAGGCGTTTTTACAATAGTGTTACATGTAAGCTAGCTGTGTTATAATTGAACAGAAAGTTTTTATAATACAATGTACATTCACGTTGTTTTCTGAAATTCTTCACCATTCACACCACTCGAATAAGAATGATAAAACTACAGTTAAAAATAAATCAACAGAAATGTGAATCTATCTCAGAAATTTTAATTTCTATATACATTTACTGAACATTAAAAATGCATTTTGGCAAGTATATCAGAAATAATTTACATTTGAAAAAAAGAAAAAAGAAAAGATCAAAAGAAAAGAAAAACGCAACAACCAAAAAGAAAGAAAAAAAATTAAACAAAATTTAATCACACACAAAAAAGTCTTAATTTGTGTGTATTCGTTCTCTGGAATATCACCTGATAGTCGCATCTGAAGAATTGTCCACAGTTAACGACGTTTACGCTTGACTAATGTATATCTCGTACTTTGCTACCTAATTTCGATATACTAGGCCTGTAGTTAATAGCCTACGATGTTTAATGTGTCCCAGCGATCGTCTAAGGAGAATTGAAAGCTCGATGGAGCACTGAGTCACTGACAGAAAATGAGTCTATAGTCATCAACAGGGCTTAAAGTTAAGAGGCAGAGGTTTGAGTCACCGACGGGACATGAGTTCAAGACGTCGACAGGACCTCTGGTTAGTCTCATCGAAGATATTACAAAAGCACACAAGTAAATGATATCCTTTAATACAAACTTAGAGTTAGATACACTAGAGATAAAGAAATGATCGACTCGAACCCAGGCTTTGAGTTACTGACGGGATCTGAGGCGAGCAGTTTTTTTACAGTCAGGGCGTTGTAGGCCTGTAGCTTGATCTAACTTTAGAAACAACAACAAGATCAGAATTTCCGGACGTAACAATTTAAGTCACCAATTTTGCTTAAAGTCTTGTGTCACCATCGCAAGTGATCGTTACTCGAATTTCAAGGATGTAAGCAAATGAACATCAGGAATCGAACTCCGGTCGTGTACTCTTAATGTACAGTTTATACAACTCTCTGCTTAAATATGACTCAGACATTTTGAACATGGCCATGACTACTTGTCGATAAAAGAGTACATAAAAACAAATTAAACATGTCTCCCGTCACTTCGGTTAGAACTTATCTTTCATCTGAATTTTTTGGCGTCTATGTTTTGCCAGTATTGATTATTCCCCCTTGTTGTCACATTGGTTTCGCATTTAGAAAAAAACAATGGCTAACATTATAAACATTGTTTGATGCCGATTCCGTAATATACTTTCTAGTATACGAATATACGATGTATGTAATATCACGCCGAGTGTATTTTGCTCCTTAATTTAACGAAAAAGTTAGTCCAAAAATGATTTATCTAATCCCGATTCGCCTGTATCTTGTAAATTAGACATTTATGAAGACAATGTTCTTAGATCTATGTTCACGATGTGACGTTTATGACAAAAGTCTACGGCGTGTTTTTGCCCATTAAGGACAGTACACACGTCTGTCGACTGTCAATGTTTTAGAACGTTAGTCTCCTCACCCCAGAACTTCTCTGGATTGAGGGAGTGAAAATGAGGTCCGGACTCGTTTTGTAGTTTACAAGTGAATCACGGTTTGTAGTCTCGATGGCAGTTCTGCACAAATCGGAACATTATTAGAATTGAGTCTGCTTCGAAAAACGTGTCGCTAATGTGCTTTTGTCAATTATCATTCAATATTATCAGTTTCTTTGTTTCTGTTTTTGTTAACTTCTATCTTATCATTGATCGAGTCAAATTTATTACTAGCATATCAAATAGATATAGAAAAGGATTCATACTGCTTTTAACAATTTACAAAAAATAAATATTGAAAAAAATAATAGTTA